ACGACTCCGAACTGAAAATGTTAAACCAAATATTGCTTATATTAATAATATTATAAAGGATACTAAAAATAAGTTAATAGATAGTGCAAAATTATGTAGAAAGGATAATAAATATAAAATGAATATTCAATATGACAATAATTTAAATCAAACTACACAAATAAATAATATTACAGAAATAATAAATAAAATACAAAACGACAATGATATCTTATTAGAAAATGAAACAGAAAAAAATTGGGCTTCCCTAAAAAGTATTTACTTACACAAAATAATAAATGATGACAATGTTTTAAAAACCATAATTATGACATTCGGCGATCAAGACAAAAATGTTTATAAAGCAATAATGGATGATATTAATAAAGATTATGAAAAAGCGAAAGATTGTTATTATTATGACTTTTGGGTCATTGCTTTAAGAAATTATCAAGAAAAAATTTTAAATATTATAAGAACAGTTGCATTACATTTAATAAGAAAGCATTTATTGCATGCTAATGAATATTGGAAATTAAAGTATATCTTTTTTGCATCTTTTAATGTAGGCCATAAAAAAATGAAAAAGTTTCTTTTAGAAAATAATTTCTTTAAAAGTCTCTTTAGACCCGATGACAATGAAGTGTTACAACTTGTAAACAATTTAAATTGTTCGAAAGAAATTGAAAAAGGTGTAAATGTGACACATTATGAACAAATTTTAAACGTTGAAAAAATTATGACAACTTTGTTACCAACATTTACCAAGAATGAATCTGATGCCCAATTTTTGGCTAACGATTTAAATAATATATCATGGGAAAACAAAAATCTTATTGAGAGTATCAGTAATGAAAACTTAAAAAAAATAAACGAATTTCAAAAAAAGTTTGATTACCCGCCATTAAGTGGTAATTTTAAGAGGATAATTTTTTATCTACAGTATTTAGAAATTTTATTTGAGGAGTATAATATTGAGATTCTTTTGTCTTATATTGAAGCATTTCAGGATTATAAACATTATTATTATAAACGATTTGATAACAAAGTGACCATAGATTTTTAATTCCCATCAATAAAAAATTATTTATTTTTTAAATATTGCCATAATACTCGTGTGTTATTTAAATATTATATATATTAGAAAAAACCATGACATTTATAAAAATGTAAATTTTTATAAGTTATTTTCTTTTTATCGTATCCATACAATAACTATTATAATATATATATATAAGTAAAAAATCAACTTTGCAGTACAAAAAAATTGACTATAAACATAATATTTTGAATCAACAATATGCTCAGAAAATTGTTAATATATTAAAAATCTAAATCAATAATAATTTCAGAAAAAATTTATTTTTATTTTTATCAAACTTGTAAAAATAAAAGCAAATTTTTCGTATTACTTGTTTTTTACTAATTATAATTAGTAATTATCTAAAAACTAGAGCTGATAAAAAATTATTATAGACTTTAAATTAGCGAAAAAAATTGGTTTAGAGAAATATATTTTTGTCTTTGATGAAAATCCCTCGTTGACTAGTGCTATTAAGTATAGTTTATACTTTTTATATTAATTAAAATTAATAATATTTTGAGTGGACAGGTTTTTATATTACTTTTATTACATATTATTTTGAAAGTTTTTATTGAAATAAGGATACAATTTCGCAGTTTTAGAAAAAATTGATCGATGTTTAAATTAAAATAAAATAGTTTATTTATAATTTAAACTACTGGCAGTGGCGTATAAAAGTTTTCAGTGACCCACAGCTGTATGTATTTAATATGCGCCTAAAATTTTCTGTCGAGCAAAAAAATTTTTCCATTTACTCTAAGTCAAATTTCTGGCTTAAATAACACAAATTAAAAATGACATTCAAACATTTTTAACCGAGTATTATCCAGTTCATCAGCTATGACGCCCCCAAAAATCTCAGGGTCACAGTTTTCCTTGAACCCTGGGACTGCTACCCCAATTGGCCCTTATGTAGACCCGTCACTGACTAATGGTATAATTTTATATAATGATGAATTTCTTTTAAAAAATGTGCATGTTCTATGAAACAATCAAAGAATTACGATTTGACCTTTTTTGAATAGCTGTTTTCATCTAAAAAACTAACAGTGATTTTTTTAAATATTAACTTTTTCCTAAAAACGGTATTTTATCATCTATAATATCTATTTAATTTTTAAAAACACTTGTGCAATGTGATATCATGAAAGTATTTACATTAGTTATAATGGTATTTTTTATCATAATTATTTATAAATATTAATGGCATTCAACATGCAGTAAATTATGATGATTTATTTTAAATTAAAAATATATGTAGATAGTCAACAAATTCAATAATGACATCGAATTTGCATTTAGAAATAATATTTTTTATCAAAATTTTAATGAAAACCAGACGAATATTAATTAATATTAATTTTGTCCCATATTTTTTATTCTGGTCCACTATGGATTCATTAATTTTTTTTTGATTACATATTCATACTTAACATAAATAACTGCTTTCAATATTAAATCTTCATAATTATTAGTTTATGAAAGGTAAATCTATTAGTTTAATAAATATATTAAAACGGCTGTTGAAAAATAATGCTAAAATTTTAACATTTTATACAACGAATATGATTTCTTAAATTAGTTGAAATTTATTTATATATTGATTAAATACGTAACGTTGTACAATTTTCTATTCCTTAAAACATATATTTTTTTAGAAGTATTAACAAAAAATTAGTAAACAATATTCGCATTAATTTTAAATAAGGTTACAATAACTAAGTTTTTCTTCGCATTTTTCAGTTATTGACACAAATGATACTTTTTTATTTTACTGAAATCGTTGAGCGTAAATTATCTTTTGACTAATAATTTTTATTTTATTTTTTTAATCGATACGCATTTGTGCAATGAAAAAAAATAAATTAACTATTTTTATCTACATTTTATTTTTTAGGGGCATAATTGAACTTAATAATTTGCACTTTTATTAGTTGTTTATTGGTTAATTTTTAATCTATTTTGTATTTTCCCAATGACAATACAATACATAAAACTTAACTAAATTATATAAAATATTAAAATTAAAAAATTTATAGAAAATATTAATTTAAAACCAAAAAATATTTTACTCAAAGAGCCACAAATTTATATACATATTTCTTATCTTTTTAATTGCCTTATNCAAAGAGCCACAAATTTATATACATATTTCTTATCTTTTTAATTGCCTTATTTCTATGCTAAACAAATCTTGTTTACTCTGAATTGCTATTTGAGAAAATTTTAATGAAAAAAAAAAAAACACGATCATAACTAAAAATTTAAACATTTCAATTAATTTCGTAGGCCTTACAACCCTCTAACTTTCTTAGATGCACTCAGCTACACTCACTTATACTACATATCCACCTATCTATTAAAATGCTTATAACTTAATGACTATTTTGAAAATTTGAAAAAATAAGCATTTTTTATTTTTAATTGTTTTTGTATTAATATTAATACAAAAAAAACTTTAAAAGTAGTTTAAAAACACAATAATTATTTTTAAAAAAATCAACAAAATGATTATTGTATCAAAAGTTATAAACGTTTTAATTCCGATACACTGTACATTTTTTATTAATATATTTAAAATAAATTAATTTGTTTTCCTTTTATCTAAATGCATTTAATACTCTTATAAATTTGATGTATTTATTAGCTAAATAAATAAATTATAAAAATAAAATATAATAAATAATAAATCAATGAATTTCATGTATATGTTAGGTAACCTGGCTTATAATATTTTATCAATCAGAGATAATAATTATCTTTATTTTTACTTGATTAAAAAATCAATGAATTTAATAAGTGTATATTCTAACTATATAATTTAAAAGCTGATGTATGAGTACAATATTTATAAAGTGTATTAATCTTTTAAAGTTTAACAACTTTTAATACCTGATTTAATATTTACTAAAAATATTTTCTAATATAGAGAACCGAGGGTAAAAATGCAAACTGTTTTTTTTACATGCAACTTGTAGTATATAATAGTTATTTTTAGCTAGACAAATTATTAAAAATTAAAAATTTAGTAAAAATAGTGAAATTTATTTTTCAGTTAAATTTAAATTTAACTGACATAAAATTAAAAATAAAATAGTACTATTACGTTTTTATTATTACCTCATTAATAGGATAAGAGTCCATTTTGTATTTAGTAAGTTTAAACGAAAAAATTAATAAATAAATAATTTGCATACCACTTAATTATTTTAACTAGATTTTTTACTCATAAATACAAAATAATGGTAATGTTTATTGAATTTAGTAATCTTTCAATTCAATATCTTAATATTTAAATATAATAAGTAAAAAAAGTACTGGCCATTTAGAGATAGTTTTTTTTTCTCAAAAAATAAATTTTTAATAAATAACACAACAACAAAAAAAAGTTATTAGATTTATAATTCAAATTGAATAAAAAAATGAATAAACTTCATCTTTTTTTTTTTTTAATTATTATAAAATGTATTATTTTGGAGCAGAGTTGGATTTCTATCCTAAATCAAATTTTTTTCTTTGAATTCCATGCCAAAAAAAATTGTGTGCTTAAATAAACTAATGTAGTATAATATAATAACTATTTTAAAAGTTATATCATTACTCAATGCTGCTTAATACAAATATCTTATATCCAATAAAAAAAAATCAAGTCTTATAAAATTATTTTATAAACTTAAAATAATATTTATAATAGTGAAATATAACATAAAAGTACAGAAAATTGTATAATATTTATAATCTATTCAAATTTAGCTCGATGATTTTATAACTTTATAAAAACATGGTTTAAGTTTTGATATTTATCAACTATTTACTCATAACTAAAATATGAAATTATTTATTTCATTATTAGACTTTTACTGAAGTTTACTCATTAAAATAAAATGTAAGATGCATTACAACACTGTTTTATTTTAAAAGATACTTTACATGTAATTTAATTCAATTTTACATTTTAATAATAACAAAATTGACATTGACAAAATCAAGACAAATTAAAATTTTACATTACAATAGACTCATAGTACTTTGACATTGTTTCTTTCTTTATTTGGGTTCGTTTAACTTAAATTTCAAGATAATTTTGGTAATTTTAATAAAATTTTATACATAATACTTATATGATATGATTAAATACATAGTTACAATTCTAAACTTTGCATTGAAAAATTGTTTGATAATAATAAAAACTTTACAAAATCATTGTGATGACTAATAGTTAACGTGATATTTGGTCTTAAATTTATTAATAATAAATAATAATAATGATAACAAAACAAATGTACATCGGTATTAGTTACCTAATAAAAAAAACTAGGAAATTTTATCACAACATTATAATTGAGTTAAATAGTAAAGTTACAGACTAAAATACAACATAATTATATTATATTAATATATATAAGATCATAATATTTAAATAAATTTTATTTAAACCTTTAAACTTTCATATTATCTATTTTNAGATCATAATATTTAAATAAATTTTATTTAAACCTTTAAACTTTCATATTATCTATTATGGTGCGAGCGTATTTTTTAAATTTTAATAGCTCATGGTGATTTATAGCGATATTAGGTTGAAATATTACTATGATTAAAAACTCAAGTTGATTTTAAACATTAAAGCTACATAAAGAAGAAACCGTATTAGAACAGGCGTCATTGAAAATGTTGTAAATAAATTATTCTTAAATACCTCATTTCTTTAATTAATGAGCCCAATTCAAATAAAGGGGAGGGGCCACGGGTCATAAAGCAGACGCATACATTACACCCTCATCCGGCAAACAAGGGTCAATATTATTGTTCTGTAGCTCAGATGAGCTATCGGTGACCTTTTTCATAAAGCTTCTGATTTCGAACAACCGCGGGTCTTCTTTTTCATCCACGCTACTCGCCGAACTACTCGTCACTGTACCTATTACAGTGCCATCGTCCGCCTCGTGTTTTTTTATGTGCCTGTCCAAATTGGTTTGTTGTGAAAACCGTCGATTACACAAATTACATTTAAAATTTCGTTCTTGTCTATGTATATTACGAACGTGACGCTGCAAATTCGATGAAATGCTAAAGGAACGTTCGCAATGAGCGCAGCGATAAGGTTGTTCACCAGTATGTGTTCGAACGTGTCTCGTCAAGTTGGCTGATCTCGGGAAAACTTTGCCGCAATATTTACAAGCATATCGGTCCTTTGATTTGACAGCGTTCTGTTGACTATGTTGAATGATATCTTGGTATGTTTTCGGGTAGTTGGGTATAGGTTGCCGTAGAAAATGTTCAATGGCAGGTGATGGGCTAGTCATCATAAATGGAAACGGTCTAGCTTGGCCGAAAGACGGCGGAGTCTGCATAATTTGACTTTCCGGTGTAAAATTTGCCAAAGACGTTGGATATAAAGAATCTAAATATAACGGTTTAGGGTGGGCCATTAAGTTTGTGACAGAGTATGAAGACGGGGGAGTAGGTGGAGTCCATTTGCGTTCAGTTTCCTCTTCTTTGGGAATCGTTAATCGTATCTCAACATTTTTTGGAGATTTGTCTTCTTTGGTTACTGACAGGTCTAACGGTTGATCGGACTTGTCTTTGGGAGATTCCGAACGTCTGTTTTCTTCAATAGTTATATCTGTATTCATAGTTAAGTCGCACGGTCTGTCATCGTTACCTGGTATTTCTCGTTTAATTACTTTTGGATCCGTATACGTTATGTTAGGTCTAGCTGGAGAGGGCCTTTGATTAGATGACGCTTCTTCTCCCACCAAGGGTGATGTTTTACTCGAGCCCAATAAAATACTATTTGATGGAGGAGTTTTTTGACTTGTATTTAACGACTTTTTAATGGGCGTTTCATTACTTTCACTGGAGTCACCGGACCGTTTAAAACGATTTATATCTAACCCAGGTAAAGATAGCAAGTCCATATTTAATTTTGGAGCGAATTGGCCAAACGGTCCAAACGGAGTTGGAAATAGTGGCGGGGGGAGTGATCCATTTGCTGAGGGAAAATAAAACGGATGAACAAGAGGGTGAGGTGGATATAACGGAAATCTTGGATAAACTGAGAAAGGTGTGGTTCCTTGTTGTGACATATTCGACGTAGGAGTACTGCTCGACGTCGGCAATGAATTCGATTCGCAAAATCTCTTATGTTTAGACAAAGACGTGCCTGTACTAAAAGACTGATCACATCGATCACACTTTACTTGCATACGACAATCAGCGTGCATCCTCTTGTGACGACAAAGATTTGAAAACTGAGTATAAGCCTGAAAAATAACAACAGCTCCGATTAGAACTACTCAGCGTAAACAACAGTGATTGTCAGAAAAAAAAAAGAATTAGAATCGACCAGACAAAATTTTATCAAAGAGGTAAAAAATTGGCTATAACGACAATAAGCATCTTTGTCCATCGCACGTACTATGAGTTGACGATAATCCTTATTATCAGAGAAACCTCATTTACGTGACGGCGGACCGTCGAACAATTATTATTGATTACAACCATCTGCGTGACGGCTATCAATATACGGAAATAAAAATTTTATTTGACACGCGTAATAAAATTAGAACCGATTAAATAATTATGTATTATTGAAATGTTTTTTTTACACACCTTGAAGCATACTTCGCATTGGAATGGTTTCACACTGGAATGAATGTGTGTGTGTTGCTTAAGTCCGCTTGACGTGGCGAACGTTTTGCCGCATTCCGAGCATGCATGTGATCGAGCACCCGCGTGATTTGTTCTAATGTGTCTTTGCAAATTACTCGGGTCGCTGAAAACTTTTGAACAAGTTTCACATGTAAATTTTCTACTATGAGCGAGGGCCAAGTGTCTGATCAAACAAGGTCTCCAACTGTATGACTGCGGACACAGTTCACAACCGTATTGATTGGCTTTGTAATGATGCCCGGACACTAAATGATCATCCAGTCTAGAACAAAAACATACAACTTAGGGTTTTAGGTGTTAATAGACAATGGACACTAAACGTAATAAAAAAATAACCACGAACTTGACGCGTTTGCGTTGTATCAAAACACTATTACTTAGCAAATATTATATTTATCTACAAGAAAAGTCATGTCAGCAAACTGGCAATATTAACTATTTTATATACATGAGTACATGCCACTTATTAAACGAAATTTGAAATATATCCACTAATTTCATAAATGAATTTGAAGTTTAAATAAAATCTGATATGAAAATATAATGTTTTAACTGTGTATCAATCGGTCACGTCTTTCTCATCATGTTACTGTAGGGGCCTCGACCAATGATTCTCGGATGAGAGCAGAAAAAGGGCTTCTTGAAAAATTAAGTGCTAAACTAGTGGGTGGTCTCTAGACCATGACCGTCGTTACACGTTTAAGCACTTAGGCGTTCACACCCTCCTATCTCTCAACTTTGTTATCTATCAACCACATATATACTACACGCGTAAAGCGTTGCGAATTTTTATAGCAAAAAATAATATTTTCTAAACGAAGCAAAGTAACATCGTCTTAAATGTTCACTTACTGTTCAATGTCCGGAAAACACTTTTCACATAAGATGCATCGGTTTTGATCGTCTTCGTCGGGTTCTTCGGTATCACCATCTACATCCCCATCGCCATCAATAGAACCCAAAGAATTTTGCGATGCGACCACTAAAAATACGATGAACAATCGTATTAATATTTTATTAATTCAATCGTAAATCAATCAACGCACACGAGTAAAACACTTAGTATTGTGTACGCTTGGGGTGTCGCTGCGTGATTGAGGTAAAAACAACAACTCGTTACTCGACAAGCTTACAATATACTATGGTAGTATTGGCTATCTATGCACCCCGTGTGTATTATTTGTTCGAGGGATGAAAGTTACCTTCCGGAACGGAAACCCGACGGTAGAGGGGACTATATCGGTTGATAGCATAATTAATTCAACATAAGTTTACCACTAGCGTGGAAGACGAAGGGGGACTTCGGTATATGCTATCTCATTGGAACAAATTTATCAGGTGCAATCATTAGGATTTCCAACTGACAATTTTACAGCACTTGTTAAAATGTGAAACTGTAACTGAAATCTTGCCAAGTTGGCCGATTTCAGCCAACTTAGCAACCCCATAGATTATTATTCGTTTTCATTGCTATACATTTGATACACATAAATTATGTAGAAAAATAAATAAAATTCATATATAAAGTGAAAATAACTAATAGAAAATAATACAAATTGTTTGCAAAAAGATTTAAGTTACAAAAAAAAAATTAGAATCGGGGATTTGGCATATATAATCGAATATCCCGCCCACTAACACTCGGTTTTCGTTTGATTTCACACGACAAAATCCCTTTCGTGACACCCTATTTGTAAACATATGCTTTGGTCACCCTTTTTTGTTGTATTAAAAAAAGTTACACTTGCAGCTTCAAAGTCAAAAGCTTAACGTATCAAAGATAAAACTAACAACAGTGTTTTCTGCGTGTAATAAAAATAAAAAAAACGTTATTCCATAATTTCATCTTTTTAAAATGCAGCCACCTGCTTCCTGTGTTTCTGCATGAGTCTGTAACGGACTCCAGATGGACTAATTGTCGTATCATATAATGTAGGTCTCTGTAGCCGGACAGACTCCGATGATTTTCGTGAGAAATCCACGGACATAGCCACTGTGGACCAGACGCTTAGACGAGTTTATACCCTTTAGCCCCCCGTAGGTTAAAATTCGCTGATGCAAGACAAACACTAGACAACTGGTTAGTAATAACGCGCGGTTGGAGACGAACAGTATGAGCATTGTTGCGAAACATCAAAACAATATTTCAACGGTGCATTGACACTTGGGAAAAAAACAAATATGTATAAAAATAATGAACTGCAAGACAAATCGACATAATAACATATTTGTACTACAACTGTACGTAGTAACTTATTACGAAACAAAGCAAGTCAATAGATAAAATGATTAAAACATAAACCATAACGTGACCATAACAACAGGCGGGTTTTAAGTAACCCGAAGTAATAGGGGTTAAGTTATTCTGATTGTCGAGGCAAATGCTCGACCAGGTGTCTGCGACTTGCACCAGGAAGTGGGAGTTTGAATCTCTTCCGGTCATGGGAAAACCGTTAAAATAATGAAAGGGTGATCGAATCGTTGTAATGATTACAATGAAATCGAATGGTAGATTTGAAAAGTACTAGACTGTTCATCCGCGTCCGCACGAATTAATGCGATTCATTAGACTTGCAAAAGCGCCGTAGCAATGCCGCTGAAGTTCTCGAGATCTTAACTCTTTTGACAACCGAGTTTTCGGGGACGTCGAGGGTACGTGTGATTATATGACGACCGTTATTTGGTCGTGACCGACGAGTGCGGCGTAAAAAACAATCGCATTTTATTTTTTATGATTTCCGTGACACGTGAACGACGACTTACCACCGACCCCAATTTGATTTGATCCGAAAAATCTCGCGTGACCTATGAGAAGTCTAAAGTAACATCTGCGCGCACGTACTGTGTGTGTTTATCGTTCGAACCGGTTAGTGTAATCGCGTGACATCGCCTCGTGTAGGCCGCACAAAAAAAGTCAGATTTTCATCAAACATTAATCATTACCGAGGTTAATCATTAATGTGAAATGGAAAAAGTCAAACTGCCGCTACTGTTGCGGTGGCTACGGTACACAATGAATACTCGAGTAGTCCCACAGCAGTATCGGCTACGGCGGTATTTTCTTGTTAAGATTGCTGCGTGGAAAAGGGCGATGACGGCTGCCTCATCAAGTAGCGATTTTTACGACTGGCAAGTCGTCGGCAGCCCTTATGATAGCCGTATATCGCGACTGATACTGAGCCGAGAAATTTAATTAAGACTTGCATCAGATGTAACTAACGGTCTTCCCCGAGATTTCTCGGATGAAATGTAAAATAATCGCTAATTAAAAACACCCTGGTAGTCTTTTTTTTCTTTTGTTCTTTAACTAATGCTTCTCTAAAGTGGCATTGCCGTTATAGTTGGTATTCCGAGGCCGTGGCGCTTGGCTGTGATGTGTTTACGATCGTTCGGCCGAGATTTAACATTTTTGCCGAGATTATTGTTTTAAGAAAACGTGACTCACGCCATAATTATTATTATTGTCGTTACAAGTGTCGTTCGTCATATTTTATACTCGCCTACGCCGCGATAATGTCATTAGAGCAGCTCAATACATTTTTCCTTATCGAATAACAATATTAATGTGCATTGATAAACGAAACGAGTAAATTACACTTGTGGTGGTTACACCCAGTCGCCGCAGTACTTAGAACGAGATCGTTCATTATCACACGGTAGCAATTTTATTTATTTATTTCCAATGCCTGTTAATGAAATTCAATACGAAATTGCGATGTTGAGCCAACAAACCAAACGACTCGCGCGACACGTGTTTCTTCAATGCCATTTTACACGTACCGCGTAGCTCTCGATGGAACACAATAATAATAACCAACAAATAAATGATCTTTGCGCCTAGAGTGCTGTTGTTGGACATAACAATAAAATCGAATGAACTAATTAATAAAAACAACTATATTTTCTACTCTTCTGGCCAACCGATTCTTCTGGTCCGCGCGCAGCAGCAGCAACGGCGACGCACAGGAACTCCTCTAAGCCGTTCAAACAAAGCCATTATTGCCGCCGTTGTTTGCTCGGCACTATAATGCGCCGTATTAAACGCATGTACACAGATTCGGTTTTGCGGTACAACAAAAAAATCCCATTTAATCAATTCAGAACTATTAGGTCTTTATTACTCGAACAGGCGGAAGACAAATTATCTACCCTAATTTTCTTTTATGTACGTGCGTTCCAGCTTGTTTTCTACGAGCCCCTCGCGACGCGCACCCGGTCACCGCCACCACCACCACCGCTGACATCTCCATTATTATTATGTCTGCCGCGATTAAAGTTAACACAGGACGCAGATAATCTAGGCGTTTGTCGCCGCTTCTGTCGTACGTACGGTGGGTTCGGGATATTATTGTTCAAACACAGACACACACGCGCGCGGGGTGCAAAAAAAAAAAAGAAGAAGGTGAGTTATGATATAAACCGCCCAGAAATATGATTCATAATAATGAATAGCAACAACCCTAATATGTGTCGGGAGGGTTGTGATCAGTGTGTGTGTACGTGTAGTACATTGGCGTCGGCGGACGCAAAATATACGACAAATATCATAGTACAATGCAACGGACATGCGTACAGATCATTAACGCTCATAATATAACTAGGAGTGCAAAGCGCGGGGGGTGGGGTTGTAAAGGGGGACGTACCCCTTTCCTGCACGCGCGCTATTCGTGTATAAATGTCGACTGCCAATGTTTTGTTTGAACAGTTCTATTATCAGTTGGGGCTCAGGCCTCGAGTTTTACAACACTGTCTAATATTAGCCGTAAGCTGCAGTTACACCCCTAAGGGATTTTCGGGGAGGTGTGCGAAAAGAGAAATGTCTGTTGCCGATAATAAAGTTGTTTTTACACATTATATTGTGGTGACCCCCTCCCCATGCTTGGGCATAAATGAAGGCAATAAAAAATAATACAATATCAGATCGTATTGTATACGTGTGTCACATAAAAAAACAGCGACCGTGACGACTAGAAGCGATTAATTGTGAATTAATTTCTGTTTTTTCTCTCTCTCTCTTTATTAATATCTCTTATTGTTGAGCTCCGTTATGGTGCGGGGCTTTTACACAGATATTGGCTTAATACACGCGATGCAGATTAAAGAAGCGCGCGTGCGAATACATAGGGAGGAGTAGTAGTTGTCAAGTTATGATGAATATTAAGCAGACTGTCCATTGTCGACTGTTAGGGTCATCGTGGACAATACACGTTAGTGACGTTTTAATTGAACACAACAAAAATAATTTCATTGTACATTTTTAAGTTCCTCCCAACAGGCACAGTGCCGAGCTAATTTAAATTTTATTATTACACATTCAGTGTTGTTTATCATTTATTCAATGCATTATAATTCATTATGGATATTGGGGTTTATAAATGATATTTTAACAATTTATGCGCGTGATTAATTGATAAGTTAAAGGGATTTGTAAAATAACTAAACTAGACACGGTTGGTCTACAGGTCTCCCATCGCTTAGTCATTTCATTGACGGTTTAATTGAATAGTTTCAATTACCTGAGCCCCTTTCGCTTCGATCTTCTGACGTGGTCAATATGTCACCGAAAGCTGCATCTAAGTTTAAAGGTTCTTTCTTGCCTAACAGCAATTCATCCGAAGCTCTTACAGTTTGAGTAAGCTCGTAGAAAATCTGAAAAAGGTAAAATCCTCGATAGTTATTTTAAGACAATATAATACGGTAATAATAATATAATAAAATACCGCTTGTTGCCTTATTATATAAAACTTATTTATGGTTATTTAATATTATCAAACAAGTTTTATATATTATGTCACCAATTTATATCAAATTTACTTACCTGGCCGGCTAATAAGAAAGCTCTGACGTTTTGCCTGTTGTCATTAGTAGACCGAATAAATTTCAACCAATTGCAAGCCTCAATAGTTCCATCCAAAAATCCAGAGTAACCGGCAACTCGAACCTAAAAACAAAAAAAATATGTTACCTTTGTTATACAAACCGACACGTTTATTCAGATAAGCCCATAAAATGTTACGCGGTTAGAATAGATGGGTTTTAAATGTAATTCACTCGCGTTCGCTCAGTTAAAGATTGTAATTAATTACAGCGAAATTCACGAGCTGTTGGACAACTTCGCCATTAAATGTACGAAATCCGCGGTCGTTAGAGATCTTCCCTCCCTTTCTCGACGCTATTCACATTTAGACATAAATCACCATCAAAGGGAGCTGAAAAAACCATATAAAATAGAATGAGCTTTCGCACCCTTCATTCAAGAAAAAGATGAACCTTTTGGGGTTAATTGATGATTGCCCCGAAAAGATTCTTCGGTCTAAGGCGAGTATATTAATTAAACATGACATTTTACAGTAATCCTTTTTTCGTACACTTTACAATTGGAACAAGTAGAGACGATAAAATTCAAAACCACCATGTTAGTTTTAAATGAAAGAGTACCCCGATTGTGAAACTAAGGGGCAGGCACGGCAAACCATATACAGAGATTAACTACCAGTAGCCGAGTATAATTATTCAGGCGTATAACACTTCTAGTTTTTAAACAAATTTAAGGTAATTTTTGGATATAAATTAACAGGATTCATACATATACAATCAATACATTTATCGTATTAAAATAATTAATCTAAAACAAGATAATTACGTTGAAATTCTTACATTAAAAATGTATACTTACTTATAATAGGTTTATAATATTTGAAACGTATAAAAAATCATTACAATCGATCACTAATTTTTGTAAAAAAAAAAAACAAGTCTAGTAGTATCGCTTCAATTACAAAAAAACACGTTTTTCCTAAAAAAAACTAAAAGAATACCATATGATTTGCATTTCCGATGGACATCTATTTTTTTTTGCTCTAAATTAACAGTTTATTCATAAAGATCGTGGGATAATGATCGATGGCGATCATGTTGTCGGTTTTGAAAAGTGATTTGACATTTTTTTTTTTTTATTACACCGTATAAGAAAAAATCGTATCGCGCAGGGAAGTGAGAAGTAGATTTGCATGTGACACAAACGCAGACGGACATCAGCATAAATTCGCATACTGCGTACAGCCCCAGAGCGCATTGGTCGGGTACTATTATGTATTGTCCCTCGACTGACACCTCTCTATGTGACCTCCCCAAAAACACAATAGGAAACGTGCGTTGATGATATTATACTCGGGCGCAATAACACGATCGAAACAGATGTCCGAGGAGGAGGTGCTGTCTATCCGCCGACCACGACAGCACAATAGTAGTAAAGATTTGTCAACTGAATTTCAACGCGCACGAGTTTTACATCGGTAAAACGGTATTTTTTATTGAAGATAAAACCGTGTACTCACTGACTTTAGTCACTCGAAAACCATAAAAGTAAATGTCAATGAGAATGATTTAACGATCTTTAATTGTCATTTTATCTCAACTACACCCGCAAATAAACAATTTAAATAGAAATGACAAAAAAACACATTTTTTGTTTCTGAAATTTAATCATTTTTTACAGTGTACGAGTGCACAAAACGTGAAGCCTGAAAATGAGATTTCGATCGGTTTACAACAAAAATCGAGTTTTGAATAGAAACAATCAAGTAATTAATTTTTTAGTCGCTTTTTGACGTTTTTGGCAAATTCTTCTGTAAATTCGCCAGCGGCTCTCGTTCGGAAACATAGGCCGACGGACGACAGAGATCTTCCCGCGGCTATTTGAGCAACCGATGAATTTTTAAACGACCTCTGTCCGCGTTCATATTAAATCTCTTTCCCCCCCGTACTTTCGTGTTCCGAACCAACACCGCAATGTTTACCGTTTTATCAAAACTCACTTGTGAATAATTGTGTAGTACGGCAAACGCACACACAAACGCCGCCCTTGTGTACAATATGGTTTTTTGTTTGCTCTGCGAGGCAAATTCCACCTCATCACTACAACCGCCCACGTACGAAATTATTTTATCGTCGTGTCTCTACAGTTGTAAATATTATCTTTTTTATTTTGTAAACAGCCGTACTACAACCGTCCGTTGGATATCACATGATAATAAGAAAAACATTAAATTCGGGGTCACATTGAAATACATACAATGGATTTACCAGAGAAACTGAACCAAGAGAAATCAATGTTTATTACTGTGCACCAATAGGGTTCAACGATCTGTCTGACGGAGTGAAAATGTGCATATTTAGACTACCATAATTTAAACGACACTGCATGTGATTGTTGTGAGATATTTAACAGATATAAGTGACGTCGACTATAATCACCTCAGACATTAAAGCGTTTTATCTTGAACAATTATCCACACTGACATATAATGAAGTCCAGTAGGTTTATTCATCTAGCGGCATTTGGTCATCGAGTCTAAACACTAACCGCACGAAATTATTAGCTATGACAATTGCACAAGCTCCCAATTGGCATAATCTGTGCACGAAATTCAATTAACATAATAATAATCGTAGAGAGACTAGTGATTTGCTACTACCGCTGTCGAGATTTGCGTATTACTCATTTTTTATTTAAATCATTCGTGCAAACTCAGACCGATACAACGAGACGGCCTGCGGGTCATTTTTAATATCACAACATCTAACACGTGTTAGATGGCTGCGCGACCGTTTTAATTTGATATCGTTTTAGTTTTGCTTGTTGGCCGGTGCGGGGGCGATGCAACAGCAGCCTATTTAGTACTACTACGCAGCTGACCCGACAAATTTATAATATTCGTAATGTGTTCAGCGACATGCGGGTGACAAAACTCCGTGACACGCCATCAGTCGGATCGCGGCCCCCGGACGTTGGCAAATCGCTAAACTATTGCGGTACCTACGCATCCGACAAACGGTTCCTCGTCCCTTTAAATAATTTCCAACAGCCGCGTACACGTTTACGATGTTGATAATAGTGTAATCGAACGGGGACGGCACTCGGATGTTCACGCGACCGTATCCCGACAAACAATAACACGGGTAGATAAATAATATTCTGGCGCGAGGGATATAAACACACACTCGCACCGCCGTACAATTAATGTGAGATGAGCCGAGTACAACAACCCTTGATTTTTGCCGCCGGGGTGACAATGAGAAGAAGAGACCCCGTTTTTTATTTTTATTTTTTTTTTTTTTACCATACCGCGACCCTCTTTCTTGGCGCGTATCTATTCTGTTGTATACGACCGTGCTGAAGTCACTTTACGCGACTACTCCAACACTGCAGCGGAGAACAACTCCATACACAGACAACATGTGTCAATGATGCGGGAAATTAAATAATTCCGGGCGTGTGCGTATGAAGGGCGGAAAATTGCCGGTTAATAAATCATACACTCCCCTCCGCTTCGTTACCATCGCCCGTAAACTGTTGCGGCTTTCCTTGTGTAATCATCCAAAGACGGCGATGTTTTTGTACGAGAAATAGCTAAAGTCACATTCCCCCCCCCCCCCCACACCCATCCCCAAAGTCACCTGCCACAATTTAACTAATCAATAAGATTGTAAAAGTTTTATTTTGGCAAGGCAATGGCACTTTTTCGGTAGGATCGCGGGTTTTTTTTTTACCGAGAGCGTGTAGATATAACAAACAGTTACACAGACGGCGACGGGGAAGTTGTTTCGGGAAAAACAAATTCGAAGGGAAAAGGCAGAAGAAGAAGAAGTTGGCCGCCATAAATAATAAATGGAAAATTGAAATTTAATTTGTACATCGCAGCCCAAGGGTGTCACGTGCTACACTGTTGTTTAACGTGTACAAGTTACACATCGGCATATGAGATTCTCCCGTTCTCTTTTGTCTTTCTGTCCGGAACCGACCCTCTTTTTTCCATGTAATTGGCAACACGATAAACACGTTAAAGTACCGTTTAGCACATGAGTGACGTGCACTGTACGCGCATAATTCTATGCATATTTTTTTTACCGCAACTCTCAACGGAAATGATCGCGCACCGCCCGAAAAGCGCTCACAGTTCGACTGGATGTATAAACGAAAAAAAAAATCATAATAACGCTCTTATAATAATTTCTTTGACGGTTCAACGTCTTTTCCTTCTTCTCGCTACAAAGTCACGGTTTGGTGAACACTTGACAGTTTGCATACGATTTCAATACATCAGCTGCTGTCCGCGAACGCAAAAAAGAATCATTTGAACGTGCGACGGTTTTTACCTGTTTTTCGTACATGATCAAAACCGTAGACTACGCAGCACTCTCTGATGGCTGACACACACAAACGCCCGTTTACCGTATTGTAATTTTTCGCATTGCCTTTTTTATTATGCAAAAATAAACGTATCCGCGTATAATGCCGGCCTGATTACGGCTCTCCCCGTACACATCCGCCACACACGAGTCTTCGGAACACTCGAATCACTACCAACCGACCCCTGAAATTTCTTGCCGGCAACGACCGTTTCTCGGTTTGTACACAAAAAAGACTTTTTGATTTTTCGTTTCGTGGCATATATCCAGTTCCTCGGAGATCACTCGAGACGGAAAAACGAGTCGTTTTTCCGCTTCGGCGAGATCGTAAAGGCGGAGCTTGCTCAGCCAACCTTGTCCAATTAGCCCAGACGCCGGCCCCGGATCTTTCCTTCCGCCTGTGGTCACGAAGGCGTGGTTACCGTATGATTATAACGACCGTCGTCGACCGAGTGTCTCCTCATTCGGCGGCGGTCAACGTTTTTTCTCCTCCGCTCGTCGTTTGGGCCCGTTGGTTTTATCGACGAGTGCCGAACCAAAAAAACCGTCGTCGGTTACCGAATCCGGCCGACGTGTTCTCCCATATCAAAGGTCAACTCGGAGTGATTTACTTTTGCAGTTGGAATTCGTCGCAGTGTTCAATGGCTAACGACGACCGCAGCCGTACGGCGTGCAGTAAAATTCAAACGGGTTTTTTTTTTTTTTATGTTTATTTTATCGTTTGCGGGCGTTATTCGCAGCGACGGGATATTAAAACGATATTTCCAAGGCGGCAGAGGAAAAATACAAAACTCGGGAAAATAATAATAATGCGAGGGCAAGGCCGGGGAGGGAAATTGACGCCTCGATTTTTCCGTTACGTTTAACTGACAAATCAGCAACAGCCTCGCGAATTCGTCCGCGGAAATGATTGAGATGAATGGTGCCGAGCCACGTACGTCGCCTTCGCAAATTGAGTAAAAACCCTTCGCGATTTTAATAAAATATAAGCACACGCGCGGCAAGGTCATGTGCGTTTATGGCGATTTTTCACAAAATCATTCCGGGCTCGTGGATATTAGGCATCACACGGTTCAAGTGCTCTTACAGATGTGTGAATGCTGATAACAGATGACGCTCGCAACAATATCAGCCGCTCAATACGCCAAATGATTGATGAAAAACCATTGGCACCGAACGTTCGAATATTTTTCTCCAACGCGATTCGCCGACGACGTCAAGCGCAAAACTTGTGCTCGGAACATTTTTGATATTTCGATACTTTCAAGACTTTCGAGTTTCGTTTGAACGCCACCACTTCGACGAAAGAGAAAATTACGGCCAACCGCATAAATACATAAACGTATCATATCTTTTCGAAAATATACTGACGAATCAACTGCTGACCCGTTGAACGACTACAGTAATTATTTTTTAGGGTGTGTCGATAAAAACATAATACACGAGCCCATAACACCGTGTCAGAAACGACTTTATAATAGTCCTCTTGTTGTTCACTCCGCCATTCTACTGTAAACTTTATTCCAACAGATTGTTTTAGATTTTTTATACTATTTATATCCCAATAGAATTCAATAGAACGGCCAATTAGTAAATAAACGGAAAATAAAATGAAATCTCACCATTTTATGAGTTTTTAATTTAAATACCTTGATATAGTTGGGTATTGAAAACCAAACGTCAGCGACCCTGTGCGCTGATCTCGTAACTAGCTAATTTTAAAACCATATCGTTTTGTAATTTGTTTATCCTCTGTTACATTACCTAATTTAAGAAAAATGTTTGTCGAAATCTGATATACTATAGTGTTGTTGTTCTATGTATATTTAATAAAATATGTTTTTGGCGCAAAAAATTTGCCGAACATAAACGCGTATTAGTCAGATACAAAACATTTTTACTCGTTTGTTTTTAAATCTAATTCAACGTTGGAAATTGTAAACACCGCGCGTGATTTTGGATTTATTATATACAATGACAACTACTAAAAAAGTAGAGTTTTTCACATTTCGAGCGTAACACGTACGAGACAAATAAAAACAATAATACACGTTGAGATGTGTCGTCGGGGCATCGTTAACAACAATACCGCGTGTCAATACCTCGAGACTTTACAGCTCTAAAGGGACTCGTTGCGCCGCGTTGACGACTATTATGAAAATTCTAACCGCCCGATTCACTTGAGATTTTGACGCAAGACTTGGCGTACCTAAACGGCCGTGTAAAATCGCTTTAACGGTTGGGCACAGCACACGGTTTTGGCTTTGAGAAATTTGTCGGGGCGGCAAATCGTCTAGTCGGGCGCGCCCAACAGGTGAGAAACCGTACAGTGCACGTCAATTACAGTGGTGCGGTGTATTATGTGGCCGACCAACGCATTCCTGGGCAACACATAACGAAGATCACAGATGCGCGAGGCGTCCGAGCGACACGAAATTCGAAATAAGAGGACCTCCCGCCGGCAGCAGATGATACCGACCATAAAATTCGATCAGTTCACACCTCGTCCGCGAACACGGTGATCGTCAGACGGGGACAATGCGCGGACATTAGGCGGTCGGATTAAGCTGCTGCTGTTGCAACCGCTGTCGGAGTAATAATGCGAGATAACGACCGATGTGCGCAAAAATTTTCCACACCGCCGAACAAACAACACAGTTTTAATGACGCGCCACGTATACCGCGCACACATCGTTTTCTGTGCACGGCGTCCACCGTTGTCTAACCGGGGGCGTCCGCTCAAACGTTCCCGTTCGGCATTTCGGCGCGAGTGTGAATCTGAGAGTGGCTAATCTCGCGCGGATCCCCTGAGGGGTCATCTGACACCTAACGGGCATATTATATCCGTCGTCGATTCGTCCCTACAACTGTCAGAATTGTCATTCTGTTGAATTTTTTTTTTTCACTTATGGATCATTCTCGCCTTTGTTCGCCCATTTCCGTTGATGTTTCCGAAATCTTGATTTCTATATTATACATTTGCACTGATCCCCGGTGATGTTTACTGCAGCGCGTCACCCCCTTTTCGAAAAATAATACGCCTTGCATAAAAAAAAAAAATCAAAATTTGTTCTCACCTCCCAAGCGTATCGAGAGTCTATAGGTTTTGGCGCCCATTTCCCCAGGAACGGTCCATACTTGACGCCTTTGGGCAACTGCGTCTTGGTCCAAACTCCTCCGGACCCGGTGTCTCGCACTTCCAAGTTGTACGGCAAGGCGGTCGAATTTGGAGGCATATCGTGAAAAAAACTAAAACTGTTGTGGCCGGCACTAACCACCATTTTGATGTCGTCCGACAATTCTTTTTTATTGTTGTTATTGTTTCCGCCACTGCTACTGTCTGCCACTGATGAACTGTCGGACAAGGACCGTTCGTCGTCGCTCCTGCCCGCGTCCGTATCGCCGCCACCATCGTCACTGCTGCTGCCTGCAATTGAAACAAAACTGTTAGAAAAAAACGCAAAGACAACGTCAATTACAAAATCATTTCAATGTTTCAGTACGGTTTTAAAATATTTGTTAAACGGCGACGTTTAAAAAAAAAAGTCCGTCGCGGCTACTTTTAAGTCTTACTGATTCGATTACCATATTATTGCAACAAAATATAAACGTTTACCATTTCTAAAGTTTCGAAAGAACAAAAACTAGTAATATAAATGACGCAATGAGCTTTTATGAGAGACTAAAAATCATTCATTCATTATTAGTCGAATAGCACCAATTGTTACCCCTCAAGTATTTAAGCATGTCTAAATTTGCACTTTTCTATTCGACATTTACTCAAACACCAATTCCTTTTAAACTAGTCAGGGCGTTTGTTTGCTTTTTGTCGCCTCTGATAATACATTCTTAAAAAAATAATATCCGAATTTTCACGTATATGTACTGAAAGTGTTCAACACAAAAAATGTTAAGGGAAATTGTGATAAATAACAATGTCATATTTGTTTTCGTTTCTTTATGTCANTGTGATAAATAACAATGTCATATTTGTTTTCGTTTCTTTATGTCAAAATTACACTATACTCGTGTGTAAAATTAACGTGTGTACTGAAAATACCAAACAAACGTATAAACGCGGATCATTTCTTACGGTGTGAGCATAATAGTTACACTAGTAGTTATTCAAAGAAATATTCGTAGAACGTCGTATGTAATAATTATTGTTTTCCCGACAATGCGAAAGTTACAAGGAGCTCGCTAATTAGAGAATGCAAATGATAATGAAGCCGTAATTTAATTACGAATATAGTAAGCGTAGTTAAAAATAGGTATAAATTGTAATTCGATAAACGCGTTGTTTTGTTTTCGGAATGCTTATGCACCTCCGCGGCGAGCGAGCTGAAGTTTAACAGCAACTCTTATCCGGACACGAGGAGGTCTTTATCTACTGGCCTTCGAGGTGGGCGCACAAATATTTGTACAAAATCATCTGCCGGCACGCCGAATTTATTGCTCGCAAACAACTCGATGACAGTGTTTATTGCCCGTCTGCAACGCGGTGGATTATCAGTCGAAAAAAGGGATTTCGTTAATTTTTTCCTAGTCTAGTCACCGGCACGCATGTTGTTACGGTGCGGTTCGAGATTAAATTGAGACGAGCAAACAGACCATCTCATTGCTCGGCCCGACCGATACGGTCATAGTACTAAAAAATATAAGGTTACTCCGCAGTGGGGTACGCTTATCAATTGTCGACAACACGCGTTGTATCGATTGTCAAACACCGAGGGACATTACCTAACTACGAATCGTATTTGCTTCTCGTCTTCTAGGCATTTGCCGACCTGCCCGTAAACAGATAGGAACACATGTGAATTCCAGTAATGTACAGTCCCACAACATCGTATTATTGCCCGTTTTGTACAGATCACTAGCGACGATTAATCTATTTTTTTGTGTGACTAAATTTCAATGAAAAACCGTTTCAGTCATCGACCGTCGTCAATCGGAATCGATAAAAAGTTTAACATATTTTACCAGAAACTTGGTGATGCCGATTGTTCTATACAATAATTGTTAACATTCAGCACAATCGACGTGTGTTTATCCGAATCGCCTTACCTCACATTTATAATCGTCATAATAATAATAATAATAATAATAATAACCGCGGTAGTGGTAAAGTGTGCGTACATACAAGAGTGCAAAACGTTATTGTACAAACGTTGAATGGGCACCCCGACACCCTTTTTCATTACGAGTAGTGATACCGTTGGTGTGCATGAATGGAAATTCTTATGGAAAATTCACGTGTAATCGATAATTGCACGTATAATTTCTTATCGACCGAGTAATCCAACCGATACGCCGTTAATTTGTTATTTCCCCGGCAATTATAATTGTCGTACATTCGATCACCGATCAAATATTCACCGTGTTAACAATGGTATTATAATTTCCATTAAACGAAAACAATGCTCATTGAGGTTCACTTTATAAACTACGTACGTTTTATTGTCCGCTCATAATAAAATTCCTACTTGTTATTATTGTTTTTCAATACTGGCCGCCACCGCGCACCGATAACGCATCCCGTCAATGTGTGCAACAATCATTAATTTACTAAAAATCAGCAATAACAATAAAAAAAAAAAAGTCGCGTTCCTTCTCATTATCGGCCGATAAAAAAGCGCCTCGGCTCAATTGCGCGAAACAATTAGCATTACGCGCGTACACAAATCTCTATTAGCCATCAAACTGAGCAAACGTGTGTAATTGATTGGCGTCGACAACAAACGCATTGTCGCGGACGTGGATTACGAGGAATCGAAATTAGCTTATCACCAACTCTATAAATTATGATCAGCTCGAGATCTCAGAAATAACGAGTTGTTCTATTATGGTCGTTCATCGAAATTACTTAATCGATTGTAACAGACTATTCGGGTTATTTTGATGGCACCTAACGAGTTCCGACGAAAACTCACGTCTGTGTTGTTGATTTAAAGTTATCACTTTGCGTTATGACAAGGTTTCCCAAACGATGCGCGTATAATTAAAAACATGTTTTTTTGTCGCTCGTGTCGTTGCTGTGAATTGTTATTTTCAATATTTTGACGGATTCTTCTACACGGTGTTCGCGTCCGTTACGAGCCCGAGGGGTGCGACAGGCCCATACCGCGTGACGATCCGACCATTTTTGTCTCTCACACCCGTGTAAAACCTGTTCGGCTCAAGAAGAACAACGCGAGTACCCCCCCGTTTAATCCCCCCCGTGTCATATGGCCTATTATAGTCATAGGTGGTTTCATGGTAGGTATTATCGTCACCCCACAACAAACAAAAATTAAGCGTTCAAAAAAATCGACAATTTCAACAAAAATCTTTGAAACAGACGACAACGTGGATGCTTTGGATTCTATATGTCATCACTCGCTACACATTTGTTACAAAAAATTAATATTATCACCGATAATAATCATAACGGATATTATTTTCTCTTTTCAAAAGTCAATAGTTTCCACTTTCTATAAAACATCAATTTGGTANTGCGCGTATAATTAAAAACATGTTTTTTTGTCGCTCGTGTCGTTGCTGTGAATTGTTATTTTCAATATTTTGACGGATTCTTCTACACGGTGTTCGCGTCCGTTACGAGCCCGAGGGGTGCGACAGGCCCATACCGCGTGACGATCCGACCATTTTTGTCTCTCACACCCGTGTAAAACCTGTTCGGCTCAAGAAGAACAACGCGAGTACCCCCCCGTTTAATCCCCCCCGTGTCATATGGCCTATTATAGTCATAGGTGGTTTCATGGTAGGTATTATCGTCACCCCACAACAAACAAAAATTAAGCGTTCAAAAAAATCGACAATTTCAACAAAAATCTTTGAAACAGACGACAACGTGGATGCTTTGGATTCTATATGTCATCACTCGCTACACATTTGTTACAAAAAATTAATATTATCACCGATAATAATCGCAACGGACATTATTTTCTCTTTTCAAAAGTCAATAGTTTCCACTTTCTATAAAACATCAATTTGGTCCTACCCCACTACTCCTTTTTAAATGTATTTTAATTTTTGTTTTTGAATGCAAATTTATACACTGAATAAAAATACAGCTCACAATTTTTTTATTGTTAAATCAATCATATTTTTGCTGCTGGAATAAAATATTTGTTTGCCAGATAAATTTATTGTAATACAAAAACAAAAATTTGTTTAATCAACAAAAGATTAACAATAAATTTATTGATTTTACTAAAGATGTTTTTTCACTGTATGTTAACTAACTTGCAAGCAAGAAAATAATCTGAGAAATTGACTAGTCCATAACGATACTTGGACAAGTATTTTGAAAGTTTTTAATAGTTTTATATAAATATTAGAGGTGAAGTACGAGCCTGTTGTTTTAATCTCTGTGCATTAATGTACCGCAATTATTCATACCGTCTTAAAATACTAAATAATAGTCCAAAAATTGTATCGACCAGTCACTTTCATGTTTTTAAATAGGTTTTTTAACGTATGTTTCCATTTAAAAACTAGTTGACAACATTTTAAAAGGAGAGAGAATAAGACCAAATAGTTTTCTGAAAATTATAGAACGTAAGACATAAATATCTTGTGGAAAGAAAAAATTATATAAAGTTTTATATTTCTAAAAAATAGTGCGTGAGCCAAACAATCACTTTGTACATGTATTACATTTCACCAATGTTTTACTACAAAAGTTATAAATCAGCATCATATTAACACAATTTTTGTTAAAGTAGTATAATTTTTAATGTAAAAANAGCAAGAAAATAATCTGAGAAATTGACTAGTCCATAACGATACTTGGACAAGTATTTTGAAAGTTTTTAATAGTTTTATATAAATATTAGAGGTGAAGTACGAGCCTGTTGTTTTAATCTCTGTGCATTAATGTACCGCAATTATTCATGCCGTCTTAAAATACTAAATAATAGTCCAAAAATTGTATCGACCAGTCACTTTCATGTTTCTAAATAGGTTTTTTAACGTATGTTTCCATTTAAAAACTAGTTGACAACATTTTAAAAGGAGAGAGAATAAGACCAAATAGTTTTCTGAAAATTATAGAACGTAAGACATAAATATCTTGTGGAAAGAAAAAATTATATAAAGTTTTATATTTCTAAAAAATAGTGCGTGAGCCAAACAATCACTTTGTACATGTATTACATTTTACCAATGTTTTACTACAAAAATTATAAATCAGCATCATATTAACACAATTTTTGTTAAAGTAGTATAATTTTTAATGTAAAAACGTTTTTTTTTTCATTATTTACTTATTTTGGTAACAAAATTTAATTTAATGATCAATAAAAAATTTCAAAATACGTTATACGCATTTCCCACATTCCCTATAAATTTCACTACAATTTACTCAAATTAATTAAACGAGTATAACCCATTAGGTCGATAATACTAATAGTCGATACGATAAAAAATACGTCCACTAATATCAAATCGGACCATCATCTTTGATATGTGATCTAATATTGAGATAGGTTTAGCTTAATATGCATTAAGTAGATAGAATATTTAAAATACCATTTAACGAATTTCTAATGTAATAATTAATATATTTGATTATTGAATATACCAAGTATAAATAAAATAATGACTATTTTTAAGTCAATTGCAAGACATAAAAATAAAACTATTGTTATACTTTTTATTGAATGAAGTGCAAATATTAATAATATAAGAAATTATTTTAAATAACTTCAGATTAAATTTATGTGTTGATAGTGACAAGTCATCTAATAAAATTTTAAATATACACTTGAATTTCTTTAAATAGCCTTTATGGCAAACATGATGGCCCAATTAATGAGGTACTATTATCTAGATGGATAGTCACTATCTGTACAATTTTATCAATCCTTCAATATATCTATAGTCTTCTTGTGTCATTTGATAATACTTTTCAATAATTATCACATAATTCTTAAGCTTCACGGGTGGGATAACCATTCAAAGTAATAGCTAAAAACGTATTTATAGGTATAATGTGTTCAGTATATACCGATAATTAACCATGTAAAAATAAATTATGTATATGCAGTTACTATAACAATTGATCAGAAAACCAGAGGACCAATACCGAAATGTCTAATAGAATTTTTGTGTATCTCGTAGAGTATGTTATAAAATGCTAATCGATTGTATCTTTATACAATTAAATAATAATTTTAATTTAATCAAAGACTTCAGTATTGAATTTAGTGGCAATTAAAATAAAGTTAAAATATCCAAAAAGTTCACAAAGAAATCTAAATGAATACGCACCATTACCGCAATAAAAAAGCATCCCCCTTTTTTTTTTTTAATAAAAGTGCTGTTCTTTAATTATATGAAAAAAATTTTCTGACGATAGAAAAAAAAATTCACGACGAAATTATTTCAAACACAATAAATACAACCAGATATCAATTTAAACAAATAATGTAATAGAAACATCAATACGTCCTAACAACATTTTTTCTAAATAATGTTGTTAGGAAAAAAGAACAAATTGGTTTTTATCCACAAAAACCGAACAATTGGTATGTATTCTAACAAACGGGTTAAACACTGCAGAGTAGAGGGTCATTATAAATAAACTTTCAAGTTGTAATAAACGAAGAAATTGTTATCTTATACTTAAATCTGGGTCACGCGTTTTATGGATTTAGTTTTTTGGCGCTATGAAAAACGCTCAGGTACGAATAAGTGAAAAAAATTAATATTGTTTAATATGCATGAATATGACTTACCTCGACTCATGTTCCGGACGGTTGGGCATACACTCCGGAGCACAAGCGCACGCGAGCAATTAGGTATTGGCGCCGGGCTAATGAATGGCTGTTATGTTGTGGCGAAGGGTCCGCAGAACAGATAGTCGCGTGGAAAGTACGAAAACAGATTGAGAATCACGGCGACGAAAATTAAAACGATTTGCACTGGGAGACGATGGCCGTGCAATGTCTGTGCGCGTGACGGCAATGAGCGGCCGCTGCGGTACGGTGCTGTGTGAAATTATAATTATCGATAAAAATCCAGTAAGTGGTGCTGATGTCGATGATCAGCGGACCGCGAACCGGATCGTCGCGATCGGACTGTTGACTGCGGCTGGCACGAGATCGACGACGACGGAAGCTGTCCCGGGTGTGTGTGCGTGCGCCACATAGATATCCCGGCGGGGTCTTCGGTCATGGGCGGTGCCGTTTCGTTTATGATGGGCGGAGCCACCACCCTGCGGGCTCGTTTATACCAATTCCCCACTGTCGTCACTGCTACCGCCGATACGGCTATAGCTGCCGCTCATCCACAGCACTCATCGACTCATCGCCGAGTTACAGACGCGCGGTCATCCGTAGCCGCTGCCGCCCTCACTAAGTTACCCCCTCTGACCGCACGCCAGTCTCCTAGCCAGCCGTCTTTAAGTTAACGCAAAAAAAAAAAGATTTTCCTGGAAGACGGATGTTTTAGGAGGTTTGCATTACTAAAAAACCTTAAGAATTTTGCTCTTCGGATAAAAGGAATCAGTAAAAAGAAAAATATATAAAAATACTTATTTGAGAAATGAGTTCACAACAAAATGAGCTTTTGAAGTTGAATATCTTTTAGGATCTTACGGATAAAAAACCTAAGCTTATACGCTATAATTTATATAGTTGTAAAAGTTAAACATTTTACAAATTATTTAGCAAAAATATGCTATTGAAATTTATAACAAAATGAAATTCCATTGAAAAAACTTTCCTGACGAATAAGTCAATAATACTATTACCCAATTAGTATTGATTTACACAAAAGACATTAAATGATGTAAGCACGTGTAGCTCGAAACAGATTAAGATGTAACCTCGTGAATCTCAACGGAAAATAATTGTAGTGAATTACAAATGAAAATCGAATATTAACAGCAAAAGACTCTACTGCTGTTGTGTTACATAATACGCACAATAATGCACATTGTAATATACAATATACAATGCTCATCATTCAATAAACGATGTGCTTGTCTGTGACGAGGGGCAACATCGACATCATATAATAGTACTAACACTTATTAATATGGTTACAATACGACCCAAAGGGTCATCGACTGATGGCGATAACAAACCCTAAACGAATCAATTTGCGTATAAGTATCTTTTAATAGAAAAAAAATATATGAATCAGTGATTATTTTGTTATGTCTATAACAATTGTCATTCTCATTATATTATCACGCATTTAAACCACGAAAGAAAAAAAGACAATCTTATAAAAGCACTTAATATTCATTTTACTACAGTTTTAATAGTATGATTTCTGTGCGTTTCAATAATACAAACACCTTAAATTTACTCAATTATTTAAACTCCGATAAACCAGTTCACTACCACGAATTCGTTTTATTTCGTTTATAAAAGTCTAAGTTTAAAATAAAAAATATATACTTTTAGTAAACTACTTGATTACAAAAAAATTATTTTTAAAAGTGTATAAATTTAAGTTTTTGCAAAACATTTAAAAAATTTAACTNAACCAGTTCACTACCACGAATTCGTTTTATTTCGTTTATAAAAGTCTAAGTTTAAAATAAAAAATATATACTTTTAGTAAACTTGATTACAAAAAAATTATTTTTAAAAGTGTATAAATTTAAGTTTTTGCAAAACATTTAAAAAATTTAACTATGAAATTGTAACGTAAGTTAATCTTATTGGTATAGTTTGACCTGAGTTGAAGGAAAAAGCTGAGAAGGTGTTTTACGATATGTTCTATTTTTGTCTGTCCGTGAAGATTGTCAGTTGATACTGGACCGATTTTATTGGTCAAAACAACCCGATTTTAATCTAACTTAACCTAACGGCGCCAAAAATTTGAAAAACCTCTCAAATTTAGAATTTTTTTTTTTAAACTGATGACAATAAAAATTTTATACAATATACTAGAAACAATAAACTTTTTTTTTGGTATGCTTTTCGTGAATATCCGATTAGAAACTTAGGTACATGGAGAGTTTGAAATAGATCATCCATTCGTGTAAGATTTTTTCAATTTTCTTTTAGAATCTTTGACAACTTTTAATATATATAAAATTAAAGCATTTGAAATGTACTACATTATTAAAAAAAATATTACATTGATAATTTTTCTGTTATAAGAAATATAAGAAATATAAAAATAAAAAAATTTTGTTTTTTTCATTGAGCAAATAATTGATCACGCCTTTTATACTTAAGTGAAATTTTAAATCATAGGAATTGTAAAATTACAAATATACAAACTGAGAAATTTAACACATCTGCATTTTTATGACGTGATAGTGATTAAGATATCATCTATATACTTGTCCCAACTATGTCACGACCTCACTTTGTAGGGTATTTTCGAAAATAAAATTAACTTTTGCTAATAATTTAGAAATATTATCTATGTGTAATACAAAAATAGTTACAGAAAAAGTAAAATTAAATTTAGTACACCCAAAATATTTTTAAAAACAAGGTATATTATTTTGTAATAACTACATCTCATGATTACAGAACTTTTCTTATCATGTTTATATTTTTCACACTAACAAAAATTATTCTTTTAAAAATATATTCTTAAATGGAAAATAATCATATATATTTATAAAAATTATAATTTTTATAATTATAATTTATTTAATTATAATTATATACAATTATAATGGGTATATATGGGTATATATATATATATATATATGACAATTACTACTCGTTGTTGAATGATTCAATAAGTAGAAGTACTTAAAAAAATTAATTGAAAAATTTAGATAGAACCGTGGCATTAAATCTAAAAGGTTGTCAATACTTCATGATTTTATAGGAAAGGTCTGTTGTACTCGAATACTTTTGCCGTATTACAATTAAACTTTTTTTGGTGAACAATCAAAAAACATATAATGTATTAAATTATACGTGTAATGTAATAATTTTAATAGGCGTTTTCAAAACTGTCACTATAATCATAACTCCTGTACAACAACACTGCGAAATTGAGATATTAATTGCTATTAAAATGGTTTGTCGAAAAATGTACATTTTCCCACGAAGTCGTGATAATTACTAATGGTCCGACACTGATCGCTCTTTTAGTGAGTGGCCTTCGACATCACCGTCAACAAGAAAAATCCGTTAGGGCTGCCGGATGCCGGGCAGCTACCGGAAGTCATTGGCGCAGTAATAACACATAACACACACTCACCGGTTCCGACTCCGGGGCGGCGATGACATGAAGCAATTGTTATCTGGGGACCGCCCGGCGCTTTCATACGTCAATCCAATTGCCGCCGCCACCGCCGCTACCGATGTACACGTTACGTGTACTATTGCGTCCTCATACTACATAACGTTAAAGACACGACTTTTTCCCATTCTTTTGATCCCGTTTTAGTTTTTTTTATATGTGCAAATCCATCGCTTTCGGTCCACTGACGCCCTGCGAGTGGCCTTTTGCCTCCTTTTCGACATTACCGAGCATCGTATTACATCATAATAACGGGGGACGCATCAAGCGAGTTGGAAAGCATACATATAGTTAGTATACAATACTTGAAACGCGCATTCAATGATAATTGACTAGTCAACACCATACACTAAAAAAAACAAAAATAAATAATTTTCATAGCGAAAGGTTTTATTTATGTGATAAATTTATCAAACAGTTTTACAAGTGAAGTGTACGGTTTTCTGTATTTTATAAAATTTAACCAACACATATTTCACGAGGATATATGTTTTTTCAGCATTTCTACGTAGTTAATCGATTTAAAACTTTTTCAACCATTCGAGAAATTGGATCATAGACGGAAGGTCCAGGCGATACTCGGCACCTATAATGAACAAATTCCCAGTACAAGATTTTTACTAATTTTACGTTCTTTTTAAAGGCGACGAGTCAAAACATTTTATANGATACTCGGCACCTATAATGAACAAATTCCCAGTACAAGATTTTTACTAATTTTACGTTCTTTTTAAAGGCGACGAGTCAAAAAATTTTATAAAAAATATTCACCCTCTCTGTCAGTATTTATAATAACTATAGTAAATCTAAGATATAACTGAATATGCGCCTATGATCCAGTCGCTTAGGTTTTTTTTTTATTGCTACATTCTTTCCAATTTTTCTCTGTATACATAGAACATAACGTTTAAATGTACTTGCTCCGAGGAAAAGAGAGAGGACATAAAAGGGAGATAGAGTATATGAAATCTTTGTACTCGGAATTGAATCGCAAGACGTGACTTTTCGTATCGAGGTTTTTTTAAAATACAAAAGCACGGTACTGGTGATGTAACTGAAATACAACAGTATAAAATAGTTTCTTTTTGGTCTAACGCAATCAAATGAAAAATTGTAAGCGAATGCTCGCGTGTGTGTACACGTAGGGGAGTTAGCATGCGTTTTAAAGCAAACAGTGAATCACTTTGGTTGTGCGCCGGACTTTAAAGTCGTCCCTCCGAGATAAGATCCTTTAAATCCGAGGAATATATCCGAAACATGCGTACTGGTTGTGAGCGCAAGACGAAGGGTCATTTATTGCCCGTGCTTCTTTACAAAAGCCGCTGACCTTATCGGTTGATACAACAACCAAAATACCCTGGATTTTTCAATTGTAAAAGCCAATTCCGCATGAATTGAAAAAAAAGGTGTCCCTTGTGGCGTTCACGTCGAGAAAAAAGTGTAAAAAAAGAAAACTTTTCTCCCTTTGCACAATGACACGTGTCCACCGCCGCTTCCTACCCGATATGCTTTTGTACTTTCTCCGACTCGCCTCTACTCCTCGTCGCGTATCGCTTATACACGTTACTTATCTACGTAACGATCGAGTCGTATACACTATTATTGCCACTGATAAATGTTAAATATGTGTGTAGGTATAGGCGTATGTTTTTTGGAACTTGTAGACCACCGGATCGACACGGACGGAAGAATCATTAAAAATCCGTTATGTCCCGTCCTGACATGGATGTCGCAGGCACGGTGGGGGGGAAGTTAACTGCTCCATTATGTGTGCGTACGGATAGGTTTATTTTTTTGCGCAGCTTGTCGTCGCCAATTCAATAATAATTATTATTGTTATTCGAGAGATTTCCGGTGTGTTTTGCACAATGCAAACGTAAAACATACACTGGGCCAGCGCTTCCGATCT